AACTCAACATAAAGAAGAAAACAGGTGCGCCTAAATGGGATTACTAGCTTCAGTTCCTACCAGCTCTCGGACTGGCCAACTTATATAACCTTCCTGCGTCACAAGTTGTCAACTGCAAGAGGCGGAATATTTAGTATCCTCCTCCAATACTGCATGTCCTATAAAAGGCTACCCATAGGAACATGGCAAGCACTCTATATATGTTAATCCCCTTCCCTTCTCTTCCATTTATAAACAGCAGATGGGGTATAATAATGCAAAATTAAATTTTTTCCCCAAAATATTAAGTTATCAAAGGAGCAGGAAGACAGGAAGGAGGAGGAAAGGGGGTGGGGGGAGGAAAAAAAGAACAAATCAACATTAGAATTTACCCTGAGGAGAGAAACAGGAATATATATAAGGACTACTATTTACAATAATGGAAAACTAGAAAACTGAAGAGGGGCTAGGTATGCGGGAACATGAAAAATTAGTTTTATGATAAGATTAATAAAAATGTGTATAATACAGATATGAATATGGATATGAACTATTATAGAAAAGTATTCCTGATATACATTTATGAATTAGTCAAAATTAAGACATAGAGGGAAAAGGCAGGAAATGAAAAAGGTAGTATATCTGTTCATTCTTATTACAAATAGTGAAAAAAGAATCATTGTAACTAATTTGCCCTGTGTCTGTAGTAAAATGAGTATGAATTTACACACAGACATGAAAAAATTAAAATTATAATAATCACATCTATAAATAAATAGAAAAAGAATAGATAAAAAGAGAATTTTAAAGCAAATTAAAATAGAATGGGGTAAGCCCCAGCCGGATGCTAGTTGGTTAGTGTCATCCTGATATACCGGGGTTACAGGTTCAAGCCCTGGTCAGGGCAGATAAAAGAATCAACCAGTAAATGCATAAATAAGTGGAACAACAAACTGATGTATCTCTCCCTCTCTCTCTCTCACTCTTCCTCATTCTCTCTAAAATCAATAAATAATTTTTTTAAAAAATAGAATGGGGTCAGGTAGTGTCAAACATAAGAATATCAGAGCGTTTTTTTTGAAAGACACCTGTTGTTGAACTTACAGAATCAAATTAAGTTAAATTTTTTTAGCCAAGACAAAAATATTCCAGACAATCAATCAACTGCCTCGGGGCACGCTGACTAGTTGTCAGAAAGCGGGGTGACAGAAATGCGTGATGAAGCTAAATATGGCCACGCCCAACACTGTCTGTCAAGCCTTCCCTTCAGTGCTGTTTCGCCGCTATGGAGCGATCCTGCCCACACCGGCCGGACACCAAGCACTGCCTTCAGCACTCCGCGATGCTTCTGAAGGGAGCTATTACCAGGGCCTGGTGTGAACTGAGCATCGTCTCAGGTGGCTTTCTCCATGTGAACACCGGGGCATGCTCTATCATAAGGTGCTAAAGATCATACTCTGACCTGAGAAAAGTTACTGGTTATCTAGTCATTATGTTGTCAGTAACATTTCCCCAAAACCAAATATAAAATGTTAAGCTAATAGCCATATAACATCATTATAGCACATGAGGTGTCTCAAAGTGCTTTGTTTATAAGCTAGATTTCTCGTAACAGGCCCAGTTCTGGGGGCTCCTTCAAGTGGCGTGGGGCTGCAGGAGGAAGCCTCAAGAGTCCAAATGCTACCCGTGAGTGTTCCTAAAAACACTAAACTGTTTCCGGAGCTAATTTCAAACTCATCAAAATGTCCACACTCAGGTGAATACTATTGTACAAAAGAAGGTTTGAGGAACAAAGAATTAGAGGGAAAAAGAGATTAAAGTATTAGCTAGCCATGAATTTAAACTAAGTCCTAATCATGTTCTCTAAGAAGCAATTAAATTTTCACTGAAGTTCAGAATGATTTAAGACTTTTTTTTTCTTTTATGAAAAATAAATTCATTTGGAAATGAAGCTGGATACATTTTTAAAAATACAATGTTCTTCATTAAAAATTTAAGAAAAAATACTTTTTTACTCCAAAATGAGTTATATTGATTGAGAATTACCCAGAATTCCTTAGAATAAATACCATTATCTGAGTTCCTTCATTTGTCTTACATCTTAGAGAAGGCTCCTGAAAGATTTCTAAACACATGTCCTTATAATTCCAATGAATTTGATTGGTATACAACCTGCCAAATCAACAACTGAAAGTTTTATTGTTATAATCAACTAACTATACACAGGTTATTTTTGCTGGAACTATCTCCTTGGTATCTATATACCACTCTGACTACCAATAGAGTATTCTAAATGTCACCTCTCTCCCCATACATTTACAGATGCTCACGAACAGCAGTGTTATTCTAAACATTTGCAAGAATGTTTTTCATCCTGAAAGAAAATGAGACAACTAAGCTGGGGATAGTGGGAGAGCAGTAAGAACAAAGGAAGATCCTAAGTAAAATTCTCCACTACATTTCCAGTTACTGTAACTGCAGGAGATTGGAATGAGCAAAGCTGAACCCATCTCTTTCTAAATTTTCATCTTCAGAAGCAACTGTTTCATTTTACCTTGCCATTTTTCTGGAATAAGTGCCTCTCAGACATGAGTAAGCAAGATGATTTGGCATACGTGATATATAATACCATCTAAAACAACTAAAATTTGCGATACCTTAATGACTTTATAACCATTTATGATGTAGAAGTAATAGATTTTCAAAACAAACTTTGAACAGTGATCATTTTTCATATCATTAATTTTCCTTAAAACAAGAGGGGAAGATACATACAACATTCTGGAGTAAGACACAGCTTTTGATAGTACATACCTACCTCACAGAGCTGGGGTGAGAACTGAGTTAATCCATGTCAAGTGCTTAGAATGCTGTCTGGACACAGCTAGCCCTTACTGAATGTTAGCTGTGACTGTTTTATCATGTCCCACTCTGACCTGAGGTATGGGCCTTGGGGCGCAGGGGAGAGTAAGTGAGTGGTGAAAAAGAAAAGCCTGCCCCCTTTGATGCTTCTGCACTGTGACACACAGAAGTCCGTCTCTTGAGAAGGAAGAGGGGCACAGACGTAGCCATTGGGGCTCCTTGCGTAAAACCACTCCTGTGGGTGCCGAGTATAGAAGATGATCAGAATTGTCTCAGGAACTAAGGAGCCAGTCTGGCTAGCCAACTATCCCTAGTCCTCGGCAGAGACAAAGGATTACCGTGAGTTAAAATACGGATTTGAAAGGGAAAATCCCACTCACATCAGAAAAAAAGCAGATCAGTTAGAAATTGGGGACATATACTAGATTAATGGGATCAGACTGACCAAGGAGCCAACTCTAAGACAATTCAGGAAGAGATGACAGCGTCGGCAGCCAGCAGCAATACCAGTAGGGCAGAGAAGCAGGCCGGGCGCCTGGAGAACCACGCCTCCTTGTCTGATCAGCCGGGGAAGCATCACGGCCGGCCATTCTGGCTTACGCAGGGCTCCTGCAGGGGCAAGAGCTCCTGTTCCCACAGTTCGCAATGCTAAGGAATGCTGGGCTAAATGAGGAGGGCGGGTGTGAGTGTTTTATGGCCACTTTTTAATGTGAGCAAAAAAACCAGAGTATTTCAAATGTCAAATGGAATGTACTACCAATATAAATTACGTTCTCCCTGAGATTTTAAAAACAGGCTTTAGAATGCTCTCTTAGTAAAGAGGGGCCTTTTTAAAAATTACAGTTGAAGTATTAAAAAGAGATAAGCACGTGGGAATCTCTGCCCCATGCTCAGTGGTTGGGCAACATTGAAATCTGTTCAAAACCTCATCGGCACCCTTTGCCAAGGGGCTAAGTGTAGAAGAGAAAGCAGCAGCTCAATGGAGAATTGCTGCTCTGGGAATAGGACAAATACTAAACCGCCAGAGGACTGTGCAAACTACGGTTGCTAGGGTTCCCATCCTCTCCAGGATGTAGAACTGCTACGCCTCCATTCACGTTTTATTTGATCTTTACTATGTATAATTCAAGGCCCTTCTTTCTACAATGGATGGTCGATATACAATATTTAGAAAAGACAAAAAAAATAAGAAAAAGAAAAGTAATTGGAGGTGCCAACACGGCTCCTATAAGCAGGTATCTGGTGCTACTTGAAGCCACAGATCTTTCAGTGACTGCTGAGAACCTGACCCTTAAAGAAACTTGGCCAGTCAGGGAGCTGGACTATAAGAGAGGGCCCAGGTAAGGCGTGTTTTGAAACATTTCCAGTACAAATACTAGGTCATAAGAGTAGTGAGGTATTATTATATACAAGATGTTACTGCTGTTTTTTCACAGTTCCCAATTTACCATTTTTAATAAAATATGTTCATTACTGCAAATAAAGTGTTCTATTTCTGAGCCCTCTGACTTTGTAACCAGCAGCCTCCCGCACACCTTGTCTTTGTACGCTGTCTTCAACCACAGTTGAATCCATGAGGTCTTGTTTATTTACTCCTATGGGATGACAAACAGAGAGGCCTCAAGTCTCCCATATTTGCTGAAAGGACATAGTATTTTTTGTACTGTGTTAAGAGTCAACCAGTTATGACTTCATCTCACCAGGAAGAGGACCATCTCATTAAAGACTGCAAAGAAAATGTTAGTCTTCATTTCTACATTGTTCAGTCTGAAAGTCTGCAGTAAATGCTTGTTCAGTGAGTAAGTAAATGAGTGTGGGGTTTACTCCAGCCATGACACTGATACAACCCAAGTAATAAATGACACAGACATCACTCTATTCAGTGTATGCCGGCTGACGACACATGTAAACTAACTGCACAACAGATTTTCATAACTGGGTCACGGCAACATTAATTTATGATTGCACAAACATATTTGACACTGGAATGCCAGAATTAATATGTAACAGAATATCTGACTATAGAAAAAAACACTCTTTTTATATATTCCATGTGTTTAACAAAATTTTCCTGTTTATAATCAAGAAAACAATTTATATCCTTTAATCGAATACTAATACCAAACACAAACTGAAATAACAAAATATTAATAACCTACCTGAACATCTTTGTATTTGTCTCTTAAGTCCAAGAGCCGGTGGTAAGCTTTAATGGCTTCTGAGAACTCCCCGACATCAGTGCTAGTGAGAATGTAGTTTTCCCAGATCTGCCAGTGTTCGTAGTTGCACTTGAGGGCTTCTTGTAAAGTTCTAAAGGCTTTCACTCTATTGCAGCGCAAAGTTGAAAGAGAAGAATATTAATAATCATAGCTAAATAAACCACAGCTAAGTGTGTAAAATACTGATGTAGACTTTCTCTTTGTCCTTAATCCTTCATGTTAATAAACAGAATTAGTGACCCAAACAACCCAAAACCACTTCAACTTTCCCTACAATTTTTTTAAAATTTTAAAAGAAGGAAATTACAAAAAAAAAAACAGGTAGAAATAAAGCAAGAATAGTGGGATGTAAATAAGAAAGAACTAGAAATTTTGGGATTGAAAGAGACAGTAGAACAAAACAAGAAAATCTCATTAGGGCAAAAACTACACTGCATACAGTCAAAGAGAGAACAGATGAACTAGAAGATAATAGTGAGGAATTTACAGAGAATTCAGAATTAAAAATAAAAGAGTAATAAAGAAACAGAGGACAGAATGAAAGGTAAACATACACATGACAGATATTCCAGAGTAAACAAATACAGAAAATGGCAAGATACTACATATGAAAAGAAATAGCTAAGCATTTTTCAGAACTGAACAAAGATCTAAATTCTATGCTCAAAAGTATATTCTGCATACTGAGCATTATTGAGATAAACCAATATCTAAACATACTGTGTGAAATTGTAGAACATAAACTGAATCCTAAAACCTACAAAATAATGACAATTTGAGAACAGTAAATACATCATTAGTAACAAAAGATGATGGAAGAAAATAGAATACTTCCTTTGAAGTGCTGAATCAAAATAATTGTCAGTCTAAAATTTTACAGCCAGATAAACATACCACTCAAGAGTAAATGCAAAATTAAACATTTTCAGATATACAGAGACTAAGCAAGTTTACCATCTATTGACCCTAACTTAAAAGAACTCTATGGGATACCCTTTTACAAAAATAAAAGGGAATTAATTCAAAGAGAAAGAAAGGAATATAAGAAATGATCAATGCTGATAACAGAAACTGATTAAATATGTCAGTAAATTTTAATAATTATTTAGAACAAAAATTATTATGAGTTATTTGTATTTTTAAAAAGTGAAATTAAAAGTATATAGACCATATTATCTACAATTAAATAAAAAATCAACAGCCAATAGAAAGTTTAAAAATTATATTCCTAGGAACTTAAAAAGGCACTCCTAAAAAAGAAAAAAAAAACATAGTGGGGGAAAATTATTCACATTAGAAAGTACAAAATATTTAGAAATTAATGTAAATACTATATGTCACCATATGCTGGATATAGCTGAAGAAATATTCAGAGGGAAATTTATGATCTTACATACATTAATTATAAGATATGAAAGTGGAAAATAAGTAAGTTAAAACATTCAACTTATTTGATATAAGAAAAACACTAAATAAATTTAAGAAACAAGAAAAGAATAGAGTTAAGGAACAAAATAATAATAAAGGTTAGAATAATCAACTAAAATTATTAAAAGCTGGCTCTTTGAAAATAACTCACAAAACAGACAAATGACTTATTAAATTCCATTTAGAGTTAATAAAAATTACACAAGATTAGTAATTTTAAAAAAATCGTAAGAGAACATGATGGACAAATTATACAAAATGAACTGAAGAAATACAAGCCAAATAAATCAATAAAAATTAAAGCTAGGATAGGTAGTTTTACAGGCAAGGTTTACCAAATCTACCACAAAATCCTTGTCTTACACCAACCACTTCAGAAATAGAGAAAGATTATTAAAAACTTCTTACTGACAAGGAAGTAAAAAGAGCTTCATGTCTCCTATTTGAAAAGTTAAACATCTCAGAAAAAAAAAAGGATTCTTTAATGCTTTACTCTACTGGCTGAACAAAGACTATAATTCCCTTATAGATCATAAATGTTTAACCAGACAATTACAGGAACCTTTTTCAAATGTACGCTATCAATCTATTTTTCCAATAGTCATTTTGCAATTGCTAACTCAGGACTACAAGGTCCACTTTCCTTTCACTGCTCAACCTCAGCGTTTCCTCAAGCTCCCCCCTCCTCGCTGACTTCAGGTAAATTTTGAGGGGATGATGGTGGTTCTTCTGGACATCCCAGGCCATTGATCCAAGAGTCATCCCCATAAGCATTTGGAAAGAAGTGTGTCCATGTCATTGGTAATTCTCCCCAAGAGTCACTGAATACACAAATCATTTGATCAATCTCTAATATATCCATGGTATCGATCAAAATAGCTTCCTTACAATTAAGCCCCTTCAATTTTTTCATTACAGCCAATTCACTGCAGTTTTGTTTTTTAGTCTCTACATTGAACAATGCACCTTAAGTTGTCATGGAATGCAGTGACTCATTTATCCCTTGGCCCACCATCCTTTGTAGATAAAAATGAAGGTACCCTTACTCTGTAACTCTACTTCAAATTCAGCCAGAAATTGTTTCTACTGGATTTCCCCCCTTCTTTTCTCCTCTCTCTGTGCCCACTCCCATGTCATAGCAACTACCTTCAACAGCCGTGAACTAGGAATCCCCACGCCTCCCATCTGCACAGGGAGGGGGGATGAAGTTAGAGTCACTTTAAGGCATGGACAGAATTCTTTTGAGAGGAGCAGTAATAATTTCCCATCAAAAATCAGCTCTGTCCAGAACAGCAGCAAAGAAAGGAAAGAGTAAAAGCTAGGAATAAAGAAGTGATTTACCTCTGACCTTACAACCCCACTTTTACACAGAAGCCTATTCATGGAGCTGCATGAAGACAAGAAAGCATCAAAAAGAAGTTGAGGAACAATGTGTAAAAATCCCTAAGGGAGAAAGCAGGATTCTTAGGATTACTGGGCTGAAAGACAAGGTTGGGTATCAGGACGCTCACTACATACAAAATTATCAAGGCTGCTAGAAAAACTCACTGAGATCATTCTACAACTATGACAGGGATTTCCCTCGCCCTTGCTTTCAATCAAAAGAGTCTCTAGTGAGTTTCAATGCAATCAGTTGCAATCAAGAACATAATATTATTTTCTGAAGAGAATGGTAGAACAAACAGTACTTTATTTTTGTAGACTGTCATCTAAGAGCAGCGGAAGCATTTCATGATCTCAGCACCATGGGGATTTAACAGTATCTTTAAGAGTATCTTGTGAATCCACAAAGAAAAATTAAGTTAAGTTTGAAAATAAGGACAACTGAAAATAAAAATATATCCATCCTTTAATTTGTTTATTAAAACTCTGGTGATAGCAATCCTTGCCTCTGCCCTTTCCTCTGCTTTCCGTAGCCGGTCAATAAGCGCATCTGGTTGTCCCTTTTATAAACTGGCATCTGCCCCCTCCTTTTCCAGTCTAGTTATCTCCTGCCTGGATTGTTACAACAGCTGTCTCCTAACTGGTTTCCCAGCCCCCAGTTTCCTCTCCAGGCTGTCTCGCACACTGCCACCAGATAAATTTTCCCAAAAAGCTTTTCTTCATGAAATTACCGCCACTGAAATCCTGGCTTCCTACTTCCAACAGAATAGTCTCAACTTGTGAGTCAGATGACCAGAGCACACTGCAATTTGACCCCAAATGACCTTCCCAGCCTTACCACTCACTGTATATCTCAATAGTCTATAGCTGGACTCTTTGACTTCCTATCTCCTATGGGGTTGCGTTCACTCCTGTCTCCCTGCATTTGATCCAGTTCCCCCTTCCTGAAAGGATTTCCTCTGTGCCCTCTACCCATTCATCAAATCTGAGCTTGATTCCAATATTTTCTCAGAAGCATTTCTGAAACCAGGGTCATACACCTTCTCTATTCTGAGATATCTGATACAGACTAAGTGTTCTACAAATTTCACCCACTATTATTACAGCCCTCTTTGCATTTCTCACTTATTTTTATAACACACTACCAATATTGTTAATCAATTTTTAAATAATAGGGCATATTGTCCTGGCTGGAGTGGCTCAGCGGATTGAGAGCCAACTTGTGAACCAAAGGATCACCAGTTCAATTCCCAGCCAGGGCACATGGGTTGCAGGCCAAGTCTCCAGCAGGGTTGCCTAAGAGGCCACAACACATTGATGTTTCTCTCCTCTCTTTCCCCCTCCCTTCCCCTCTGTCTAAAAATAAATAAATAAAAGCTGTTAAAAATCAATAAACAAACAATATGGCAGATTTTATGTTTTTAAACCTACAGCCCCCAAAGACACTGGTTCATCTTTCTATTTTTCAATAATGTCTAGATCACAGCAAGCAACCAATAAGAATCTATCAATTGAGTTGACCAACTAAAAAGCATGCTTTTATCATGTAATGAAGTTTAGGATACAAAACTTCAGTAGCATATAAAGATTTCAAATAATATTTATTTTATTACATATTAAATATTTTCAAGAAATAAACTACATTTAAAAGTCAAATGGCTAAAAGGCATAATGTTTTAGTACTCAGTTGAAGAAAACCTCATTCATTTATTTTGGAAGCAAGGCTCTTGTACTTACTTTTGTTTTAATCGGATGTAGGATGTTGATAAATTGTTCCAAGCTTCAGCATTCTGAAACGACAGAGAACCCAGTTATAGACTATTCTCATTTAGGTAAAATAATTGCTACAATCAAAAATAGAACACATTTTCCTAGTCTAAGATGTACTCTTTGCAATCATGAACTTCACTAAGGTACCTTTAAAGGTATTTGAAAATGTTAAATAAATTAAATGTAACTTTCATAACTTAGCCTGAAAAAGTCACAAAAATAGCCAAAAAATTGACATAACTTTCAAAGTACTAATTTGGAATTTAGTTAAAATTTTATTTCCAAATTTAGATTTACAAAATAGTGGGAAAATTTATGAAGTAATTATACAATATACAGGCTTATTGCAAACCTAAGGCAATGCAGAATATTGTTTTTCCCATCTTAAAAGGCTCTGCTATGTTACCACCATCCTTCATCAGACAGAATATGGGGGTGTGTGTGCTCCAGTGTTATTCCTAAGTATTTCATCAAACATATTTCTCTACCTATTCCTCCATGCAATAACAAAAATAAATGAAAACTTTTATATAAATGTTGATTCTAACAAGAACAATATGAGTGTTTGTTCTTCTTTTTATAAAATAGAGAGTATATAATTCTCAAGTTCCATACATGTCATTTAAAAATTAAGTGGCAATGGACCACTGACAGAGCACAGGTACTACCGGAGTAGTCTTATTGCCATAAAAAGCTACAAACTGGACAAAACTTAGGAAACAAGTGCTTTTGAGAAGCTGGACAACAGACTGGGTCATAGGACTGTGATCCTTGAGACAGGGCAAACAACTGAGGTATCTCACTAACCAACTAGGCTTCTAACTTTCAAGGAGGCAGAAACCAAAACAAAGCACAGCAAGTCTTATGAGATGAAGAAGAGATCGGAGTTCAGAGCTGAAAGGTGGCTAGAATTTGCAAGGCAAAATACCAGGGAAGAGATATGTGCACAGAGGATAAGCTCCAGAAATCTCAATAAGCATCTCCTTGAGTCCTTGGCTGAACAATAAGTTAGGCATGTGAAGGGCAAAACTTCCTGAGGCCTGGCAGAAAGCTGTGAGCAGGAGGGCGGCTCTGGATGTCACGGTGCTAGCAGTTACGCAAGTTCCCACTGACCAGAGGGGAGAATGCTCGAGGGAGTAAGCTCCCGGGACATTAAGTGCTGCCCCAAAAAGGTACTATGTTAAGAGAAGGTGATTGTGACCACAGAATAAAGACAACTCCAGACCCACCCTAACAAAGATCAAAATCAAACTGATCCACACACAAGAATATTAACCAAATGCCCAAATAAAACACTATCCTCCGAGGGAAAACCCTGAAACTCGACAACACAGCATCTACAATATAAAACTGGTAGACATACATGCAAATAAGCAGAAACAGTTAATCCATAACCAAAGAAAAAAACAGTTAATAGAAGCAGACACAAAAATAAAAGGGATGTTGAGATAAGCACACAAAGACCTCAAAACATTTGGTATAAAGACAATCAAAGATATGAAGAATACATGAATATAATAAGAGAATATAATTGGGGGATCTCAGTAGAAACATGAAAACTGTAAAAAAAAAAAAGCAAATGAAAGTTTTTGAACTAAAAAAATACATTATCTGAAATGGTGTTTAGTTTTTTTTAATTGCTATATAATTGATATATAACATTGTATTAGACATACAACATGATTACACACACACACACACACACACACACACATTGTGCAATGATTTACCACAAGTTTGGTTAACATTCATCATGATGCATAGTGTGGCTAACTTTAATGAATAAGTTTAAGAGCAGATTGGACATAAATATAAGAGCTAAAAAAATAAACCTCTTAGAAGAAAAGATAGGGGTAAATCCTCACAATCTTTGATTTGGCCATGGATTCTTAGATATGACACCAACAGAAAGAGCAACAACAGAAAAATATATTGTTGGGAACTGTCCCATCTGGTTTCAGGAACTGCAGCCTTGCCAAAATGCGAGAGGGCTCGAGGCTGGAGCTAAGCAAGGAGGCCTTGGGAAAACAGGCCACTGAGGAGACAAAACCTGTCCCCCTGGCAGAGGCACAGCCCCTGCCTCCCTCACATTGCCCTGCTTGGCCCCGCAGGATGGCTGGTTAGTCAGTGACGAGTAAGACCCCTTGATGGCAGGGGCAACCTAAGACAGGCACAGTCGCATAGGGGCCATCATGGGAAGGACTTGGGAGACACAGAGGAAGGGCAAAAGATCCTCCCTCCTCGGCTTGATATCGCCGGAGTCCTCACTCTACCTGAAAGAAGTCTTCTTATCTCTTGGCAGCTCTGCTCCCCTCGCCCGGCTCAGGCTTGAAACAATACAGGAGACAGCCCTAAACCGGGTTCTGGCAGTTCCCGGGGCAGGGGGGGGGAGGGTGGGCGGGAATCAGACCTCCAATTACACTCTTTGAAGTATGATATGTTTTTCCCTCAAAAGCTATGAGAACTGGCTCATGCTGGGAAGGAAATTTACATTATTCAGAGATCCTGACCCTAAACCCTCTGGTGCTCTTATGTTTACTCGTCTGGTCTCAGACCCATGTAAATCGGTGTGTTCCTGCCATTTGTTTTCTTCAAAGCATCATCTGTTCTCTGTAAACAATAACATACTGATGTAATGAGATCAGCTGTACATTCCTACTACCTAGCCCCCACTGATAACCCTTTCGATAAAAGCCATCGAGCACAGGGGCTCGGGGCATTCTCCACTAGAGGGAATCGCCACCCATTTCCCTGGCAGACAGAGAAATGTCTCAGATGGCTTATTTTTATTTCCCCATCCATGATGACCTGGAGTGTACTCTACGAGACAGAGTCCGCCTTCCGCCTGAATAGATACATTGGACTTCATCAAAATTAAAAACTTAGACACCTCAAAAGACATTATCAAGAAAGTGAAAACAACTTACAGAAAGGGAGAAAATAGCTACAAATCATATATCTGATATGGAACTTGTATCTAGGTTATATAAAGAACTCTTACAACTCAACAATAAAAAGGCAACACAATTTAAAAATGGGCAAGGATGTAAATAAACATTTATCCAAAGGTGATACATAAATGGCCAATGAGCACAAAAAAAGATGCTCAAAAATCATTAGCCATCAAGGAAATACAAATTGAAATCACAATGAGATACTATCTACTAAGATGGGTATAATAAAAAAAGTCAGATAATAATAAGCGTTGGTAAAGATGTTGAGAAACTGGAAGCCCCATACATTTAAAATGGTGCTTTAGTCCAGTCAAAATGGTAGCACAGGTAAACACAGCTTATCTCCTCGCACAAGGACAACAAAATTACAAGTAAAATATAGAACACTCAGAACCATCCCTCAGACCCATCAGAAATGGAGTTGAATGGAAGTCTGATAACTACAGAATTAAAGCGATCACACTCATCCAGATTGGTAGGAGAAGTGCAGATGTGGAACCGGCTGGTCCCACCTCTCCGCGTGGTGGATAAAAATTCAGGAGGAATATTTCAGGAGTGAGGAGTCCCAGCCCCACACTAGGTCACTAGCAGCAGCCAGCCCAGATTCACAGCTTGGCTTTGTCTGGGAATCTTCAAACCCAGACAAGTAGCAGTCATCTCAGATTGCTTTATAGTTCCGGCAGGGTGGCACCAGGTAGAACACAGGTGGGGACTGACCTTGGCCTGCACCACCTGGGAAACCCTAGGGCCTGTGCTCCCAGTGGACAGCCACAGACCACATCAGAGCAGCACCACCCTGCCCCTGCACAGCTGATCCTCCACGGATGGTGGAGGTTGGTGGTCAGTGGTCACAGCCAGCCTGCTGCTGGCTGGCCTGGGTAAATCTCTCCCATTGACCTGCCAAAAGGCAACCAAGGCTCAACTACAAGACAAGGTGTACTCAGCCCACATAAAGGGCACAACTCAAGTAACCCAGCTTGGATGACAGGGGAGGCTGTGCCACTGGACCCTACAAAAGTGGAAACAGTCCAAATGACCACCAACTAATAAACGGATAAATAACATATGACATGCCCATACAATGGAATATTGTTTGGCCATAAAAAAGTATGAAGTATTGATATAAGTGAGGGATGAACTATGAAAACATTAATCTTAGTGAAAGAAGCCAGTCACAAAAGGCCACAATGTATATGACTCCATTTATATGAAATGTCCAGAACCGGCAAATCTACAGACTGAATGTGCATTAGCGGTTATCTGGGGCTGGGCGTGGGGCTTACAGGGGCCAAGGGTGGAACATGTTTGGGAGGAATGGGGAGTAACTACTCATGGGTACAGAGGTTTTCTTTTTATTACATTAAAAATATTGCAAAATTGTGGTGATGGCTGCATAATTTTGAATATATGAAAAAAATCATTGAATTGTACACTTTAAATGGATGAACTATAGGTATGTGAATTATTTACCATCTCAGTAAAGCTGTTAAATATTAAAAAACTGTAACCTAAAAGAACTTTCTAATAAACATAGGCAGCACATGTTAGTGGATGACAAAATCTATGTGGTACTTTATACTTCAGCAAAGTATGTTTTTAACTAAAAAACTGTTTTATAAAAATTATTTTCTAAGTGAAACCATGAATAACTTAGCTATTTTAAGAAAAAAATTATTTCTAGATTTATAAATCAAATACCTTAAAGTGTGACCTTCTGTCAAAGGTATACTGTCCTCCAACATAAAAGGAATTGCTGTTCTTTTTTTAAACATAATAGAAAAATTGAAATTTTTGGCCGCCTTTTTTTTTCATTGTGACAAAAACACATGACATCTACCCTCTATACATCCATAGGAATTTCTGTTTTGAACTACAGTACAATTCAAATATCCTAGCGAATACCAAACTAGAGCTATAATAAGGAAAGGAGACCAAACAAACTTACGTCGGGCTCCAGAGTCACGCAGCGCTGAAACGCCCTGGCAGAGCCGGCGTAGTCTTCCAAGGCCAGGTAGGCACAGCCGAGAGAGAACCACACCCCGAGCTGCAAGGACCGAAAGTCAGTCATTTAAACAAAGAGACATTTTGAGGCTGTAATCTGAACATTATTTAAGGTACTATCAATAAACACTACTGTAAAAAATGCAGAGCTATGTCACAAATATGTGCCTTACATTTTATAAGGAATGTAAATACACGGAAGTTTGCCAAATGGAGAAGCAAATGGAGATGAATTTTTCCATATAATTTTCAAAGTTGATACGATGCTGAAAGCATTTGAAATATCACTGCGCATCTTTTGTTGAGCAAACACCATGAATGAAATGAATGAAATGTTTGTAAACCCTGAAATTATAAGTGTGGGATTAATCTAACATTTTTAATGAGCGTCAACTATGTAAAAAGAATACAAAGTATCAGCAGATTCACAATTGATGAGTGTATTACCAGCTTCAGAAAAATTTTTGTTTTCATTTTCAAAGAAGACCGCAGTAGCCTTACTGCCTGCCCTCCGCAAGCCCAGCTGCACCGGCCTGCATCTCCCAGGCAGGCCTGAGAACAACAGGCTCAGAATCTCAGAATGGAAAGCCTGACTTGAGTCAATAAGGTTTGCAAACAGAGATTTAGGAAAGAGGTGAATTAGGAAGTAGCTATTGAAATTACAAAAGAAATCTTTACTTCACAGGATTTCCTTAAAATTCAATAGCCTCTATCAAAAGGAAGATAAAACTGATAAAAATTCAATGAGATTAGTCAGAAATGCAGCTACTACAGTCAAGTTTGCTTTCCTTTCCGATAGAGCCAGCAGTAGAATGCAGTGGACTTTCTCTCGGACTTCCAGGACAAAGGCAGTGTTAACACCGCAGGGTGGGAAAGGAAGCGAGGTGCTTGGCTGTCTGTCTACAGCCTCCCACAGCCGTGGACAGGGAGGCCGCCCCACACGCCTAGACCCCACCAACGCCCACAAAACGTGCTCCCTGTGGCTGGCTGAGGCCTGAAAGTTCTTTAAGCAGATAAAGATTTTTAGCTGGTACTTAGAGATAAAGCTCAGAAAGCAAACATCCTTGGGCAGTTTATAACACTTTGTCTTGAATTCACAAGAGGCAATAAATACCTGCCATCAGGAGTTTTTATGGAGAACAGGTTTTGTTCCGAGGGAAAGGTAACAGCTGGAAAGGGGTGGGGGTGTGTTTGGTGGGAGGAAGGAGTAGCAGAAGTACCAGGTTGAAACAAAGTTAGAAACACATTTTTTTTAAATCAAGGAACTTCCAGCAACTTAAAAATTAGCCCACTACACTTTGCTTCTGTCTGGTTATTTATAGAATCAAATGAAAAGAGCTACCATGCACCAAACCACACTCACTAAATATGATACAATCTGAGAGGGCTTAAAATCTGATGCTAGTTTACAGAATATACAAAACAAGATCTCTGGCTTCTGACCAAGCTGAAAGTTTCAAAATCTGTGTATTTCCTCAGTTATGAGGTACACTCTCCTTTCACCATTTAATGTCTCTGAAATAGATGCATCTTCATAAGCAAGAGCTTGCCAGCATTTTATTGGCAGCATTAAGGTGGCACTTAAAATAGATGTGCCTCTTACAATTGATGGCATCTTATATCGAATGAATTATGGAAGCAAATTTATTTGGAACAAGGGATACCTCATTCTGGGACTAAATCAAAACCAAGGAGAACGGCCCTCAAAGTTTTCAAAATGCATGTGCCCTCCTTGCTTCCTGCATCAGCAAAGAACAAATTCCCCACAAAACTATTTCACATGTGTTGTTATTAAAAAACAGTGAATGTAAATTCAACATGTAAATAAAGAACCTGATTTTTCAATCCACCTGAAAAGACAAAGGTTACAGGCACTTAAAATTAGCAATTATCTTATAGCTCTATTTGTTATGGCTGCTAATGAGTTCACTATTTAGCTTGAAGTTTTTGAAACAAGTCAATGGTTTGTAAACTAGTGTCTTAAAATAAAAATAAATTTAATGGAAATCAGGTAGATAACTTAATACTATTAGGGTTTTCTTTTGACTCTTGGTCATTTGTATTGTTTTAATAATTTGAAGAAAAACTCTAGTATCGCTAATTGCTAGAAGATTTTCATCTAGTATTGGTAACATATAACTGTAATGAGAGATGACTTTTGCACACATGCTAGTCTTGGAAATCATAAAATGGCTTTAGAACAAACTCTAGGATCTTCTCATTGCTTGTGGCTGACCCACTAAACCAAAAACAATGCGTCCATAACTTGCTTCTCAATTGAGGGCATCAATTTGGGGGACTAAAGAGAATATTTGGTGCCTCTTTTACTTTTTTATCTGAAACTATTATTACCAATGGTGACTGATATCTTGATTTTGAATGGTCATGCTTTTAAGAAGAGAATATCATAAAAGGGAAAAAGTCAAAACAAACCTCAAAAAAACCTCTCACATGATTCCTCAAATTAGAGTTCTACATGCTTGCGTACCAAAGATCTCTGTCTTCTGGTCCAGCGCTGTCAGACAGAAATACCATGCTAGCCTCATTACATTAGGTTGCGGCCATATTTAAAAAGTAAAAACAAATGGGTGAAATTAATTTTAGTTAACATTTTCTTTGACTCTACATATCTAAAATGCTATCATCTCAACATGTTATCAATATACAAAATTACTGACATAGTTTACATCCACTTTTTCATACAACATACATTTTTTCACCTTTGAAATCTAATGTGTATCCAACACTTGCCGCGTGTCCCAACTTGACCGGCCGCATTTCAAGTGCTCCGCTGCCACGTGTGGCCGGTGAGCACCGTGTTAGGCGGCTCTGTTCTACGTGGTCTGTCTGTGACACTGACGGAGGCCCTGGCATGCCCTGCTTCCCTCCCTCCCTTTTCAAAACAACAACAACAACAACTAGCTCTTCTGGCTGACACCCTCCCTTGAGCTCCTACCTTCCATATACTACAGCCATTCCTGTCCTCTCGCTACAAAAGCAACCAGAATAATTAGCACTTCATGAGCATCGACTACGTGCGTCACGCCCTGTTACCAGAGCTTCCCGTACCCTGCCTCACTTATTCCTCACTTATGCCTTTCAAAGCAGTAACGCTCACCATCCATCGAGAGTTGAGGATGGGTCACAGAGTCAGTTGGTTGGACAGACTCGACCAAGTCAGTGTGACTCCCAAGTCCTCGTCATCTCCACGTGGCCACACTGCCTCCCACTGCACCGTTCTGCCCAACGCAGCTGTGACTCATGATAGTGCCATCCCAGTCACCCATAAAGATGGGGGAGGGGGCGGGGGGGCGGGGATGGGCAGTGAATGGGTGCTGGCCAACCAAGATCAACTTTTTAAAAAACCAGAGCATGTCCACTCCCCCTGCCCCAAAGCTGTCTTGAGTAGGCAAGTGGATAAAGATGAAACAGAAGAGTGGATGACCATGTTTAGTTGGAAGAAAGAGCTGAAAGGCAGCCAGCCTCTTATCAAAGGGACTAGGCAAGACCGAAGAAAGAAGCATCTGATAGAGAGGCTCCGGTTGAGATTTCTGTAGGGCTTATTTCCAGGGCAAACTGAAGGCAAACTAGTTGCAGGCAGGCGACAAACTAGCCTTTTTTTCCCTGAGGGAACCCATACAAAACACAAAAGCAGGAAAACTAATTACTTTTTTATTGAAATTTTTTTTGAGAGAGAGAGAGAAAGAGGGAGAGAGAGAGAGGATAGGGAGGGGAGAGAGAAACATTGATCCGTTGTTTCACTCACTTATGCAGTCATTGGTTGATTCTTGTATGTGCCCGGACCATGGATCAAACCCACAGCCTCAGGGTACTGGGACAGCACTCCAACCAACTGAGCGACCTGGCCCGGGCACCAGTTATTTATTTTGAACACAATAATATATCCTCAAAGAATGGTTTTAAGTTATTTAAAAAATAATTAACAGAAAACAGGAATGGTTTGAGAACATGATCTCTCTTTGAACATCCCTCATAAATCTTCCTGGAGAAATAGTGAAATAGAAAGATGGATACCTGCGATTCGAGAAGGTCTGAGAAACTGCGATGTTGGCCATGTCCCTTAACCTCTGAGTCTCAGTGCCCTGATCGTTTAACAGGGGTAGGAGAAAGCCAAAATGCCAAGGCTCCATTAGACCCCAGATTCTGAGAGCCCCACAGTAACAGGGTTCAAAGGTACCTCAGTGCCATCTAGTGGCAGAGCAAGTACACTGGTTATAAAAATAGAATAGTATTAGAATCATCAGGTTTGAGGAGCTGGGGGGAATCCACTCTATTAGAAATAAATCCAAAAGAGGCCAAGAGGAAAATGAGGCCGAAAAGAAGCAATTTGCCTAAAGCCACACAATAGCTTTATGTGTGATGAAGAGAGTGAATGCAATACTTATTAAACCTCAATAATTAAAATGTATGATGAAGAGAGCAAGTGTAATACTTATTAGAGCTTGATAATTAAGATGGAAATTAAAATTTCCAACTTTGTGGGCTAACAAAGACTAAGCACCACTACACAACGGGCATGAATTAGTTTTCCAATTAAGAAGTTAATTTTTTACAAGGATATTTCACACACATCTGCAATTGGTGTCATTTGTTTTACATTACAATTTCCTTTCTCAAATTAATTATGCGCCTACTACTCAAATTTCCCTCCTCCTTTAAGGTTTCTGCAGATTGAATAGTCAGTTTCTTCACACCTTTGGCTAATTTTTCTTGCAGGAGTGACTCTGAATTCTCCTGATGTCACATATAGTAAAGTTGAACATGTTTTAATGGAACCTTAAAGCCAAGCTGCACACCCATTCTCTCCTTTCTAATTCTTGACTCATTCCCATGACCCTACATGTAGATAAGTTGTTGAATGTGGTTTCATTAAACAGGAAATGACCCAAGCCAAATCCACGAGTGATATCAATATTCTTTGGTAGCAGCTTTTCCTAAAGTGATGAATGGTGCTCATAGTTTCAAAAAAGGTCTACAACCAACTCTTCTGTAACCAAATTTCTCATTTACTAAGTCCTAACT